GAAGACACAAATCTACATCAAGTGCCTTCTAATAGGACGCCCTGAGAACACAACAATCACTCCCACATTATTCTTGCCCAAAATGCATCACCAGAATTCAATCAAGAGAAATATTAAAAATAAATTAAGGCCATTCTACAAAAAATAGGACAGTACTTGTACCAATGTCATGGTTAAGGAAAAATAAGGCTGAGGAATTAATCCCTACTGAAGGACTATGGAGAAACAATATCAACATGGATGTCATTTATGGAGGGATACTGGACTGGATCCTGGAACGAAAATAAATGTTAGTGATGAAAGGATGAGATATGACCAAGGTTTGTACATTGTGAACAGTATTGCATTAATGTTAACTTCCTGGTTTTAGTCATTTCACTTACCTAAGATGTGAATGTTGGGGAATCTGGGTGAAAGCTATGTGTAATGTTGATACTATTTCTGCATTTTTGGTAAGTCTGAATTTAATTTGAAAGTGAAAACTTTTACATAATATTTTTATTGATTTTTAGAGAAAGAAGGGAGAGGGAAAGAGAAAGAGAAACATCGATGAAAGAGCGGAATATCTATCAGCTGCCTCCTGCACCCTCCCTACCAGGATCTCAAACTCCCATCCAGGGTATGTGCCCTAACTGGGAATCAAACAGGCAACCTTTTGGTGTACAGGACAACATCTAAACAACTGAGCTACACTGCCATGGCAAAAGTTAAACAATATTTTAATTATAAATAAAATAGAGTAAAGTAAGTATTTCCGTACCATATTTAACTGCTGCATCCAGCTTAGGTCAGGGGTTGCCCTCTGTGTCAGTGTCAGTGTCATTGGACATCCTACTGTGAGAAACTCATAGGACTGAGGGAAGACAGGGAACAGTGCTGAGCAGGAGCGGCAGCCGGATGCCTCCCCTCTGTCCCCACCTGACTCTGAGCTCCCTGATGGAGGAAACGGTATCTGATTCATCTCTGGTTCCTTGACCTCAGTGTGGGCTGGGTACACAGCAGATACTTTTTCACAGGGCTGGCTCCCTGCCCATGATGGGAAAACAAGAACTGAATTACAGTTGTGAAGCCTTTTACCTGGAGCCCAACTATAAAAGCCATTTTCCATATTGGCTGTGGATAAGGAAGTTCACAGTTCTCAGAGCTCAGCTGGGCACAGGGGAACCTTGGACTTGTCTCCTAGTAAGCTAAGGAGGAAGCAGGCAGCAGAGAGGTTAGTTAGCAGTTTAAGGTAAACAATTTGGATCCCTCCACTCCCCACTTCCAAGCCTTGTATTAGAAAAAACTCCAAATTCCTCGCTCCCCTCCTTAACTGCATTTCCTCACTCTGTTCTGGCCCACACAGAGCTCCTCACTGCTCCTCCAGCTCACCAATTAGTGTGTAATTATTGTGTAATCCTGGTTCCTGCCTCAGACCTTTGCACTCCCTGTTCTGTCTAGAATGCTTCTCCTACAGATCTTCCACTGAAATGGCACCCCTCAGAGATGACTTCACTGACCAACCAAACTAAAGTATCCCTTCTGTCACTCTGTCACAATATGCTGTTTTATTTTCTTTGCAGAACTGGGCACTATCTCAAATTATTTTGCTTACCTGCCTATTGTCAGTCTCCCCACAGAAGAATGCAAAGTTCTGGGAAGGCAAGGTCTGTCTTGTTCATCTTGGAACCCAACATGTAAAGCAGTGTCTGATGCATAGTAGGTCTGGTGGATAGATATTGCTGCATAACAAATATCCCCCAAATTTATTGGATTATAACAACAACCATCATTTAATTTATTTCTCATGGTTTCTGTAGGTGAGAAGCAGCAAGGCATAGGCCGGGCAGTTCTCTCTCAGGGGGGTTGTGGTCTCTGTGTTTCAGCTTCCTGACAACATGGCAGCCTCAGGGCAGTTGGACTGCTTACATGATATCTGAAGACTTTTAAGAGCAAGTGTTCCTGGAAAGCAGGCGGAAGTTACCTCCCCTCACGCTGTCATGTCCTACTTTGTCAGTTCCCTGGTGTCATTTCTACTAGACTCTGTTGATGGACCAGTAATAAGCTCATCCCCATGAAAGAGAAGGGGATAGACACTTCACTGCTTGATGGGAAGAAGGTAAAATAATTTGGGGCCATATTTTCAAACCACCAGAGAAGGTGATGAGCAAATATTTGTTTAATAAATAAACATTGACTAAGTTAATTTCTTCAAGGAAACCAAATAAAGATATCAAAAGAAAGCCTGTGGGGCATGATGTTGGCAGCCACAGACACTGCGATGAAAACTATATAACCAGTGGAAATTCAGTTGGCCTACCATGTGCCTTGAAAAACCACAACTGGATTATATTTACCAAGTGGTGACATGTTTCTGGGAGTTTCCCAAAGTGTGAGATGAATGTAGTATATGAAATGACTTTAGGAGACATGTAAACATGGCATTAAATGACACCAAATCACATGGATTATATAGCTATCCCATTTTCAATGGTCTGTCTGTCACGCCTTCCCATCATGTCAAGGAGAAAGTTCAGGTAAGTGATAATATGCCTTTAACCCCCCTCTAATACTTTGCTAATCTCTTTACCTCAAAGCAAAAGCAGGCTCAGCACCTTGGCAGGCAACAGTAGCCACCCAAAATTTTAAAACCTCATTTTGTTTACCTGTTTATTTTTTTAACATTTTAAAAATATGTTTTTATTTATTTACTTATTTATTTATTTATTTATTTATTTATTTATTTATTTTAAGAGAGGAAGGAATAAGAGAAAACATCCATCTGCCACTTCCTGTAAGCCTTGTACTGGGGATCAAACCCACAACCAGGACATTTACCCTGATTGGGATCCAACCTGTGACCTTTCCATGCATGGGACAGCACTCAACCAAGCCACACCAGCCAGGACCCTGTTTATTTTTACAGTCATCTCTATTCATGGCTGGTAGTTCTCAATTTTCAATGGTGATATACAGTATCTATTTAACATAACTTTAAACCGATAAAAAGGCAGGGAAAGAATTGCGACCAGGGCCGATCTGGGCCTCCCTGCTGCTGGCCAGGGCCTTCCTTCCATCTGCGCCGCCCCCTGGTGGTCAGCGCATGTCATAACGAGCTACTGGACTCCCAGTCTCCCAATTGAACTCCCACTCCTGATTGAACAACTGCCAGAGGAGACAATTTGCATATTAGGCTTTTATTAGATAGGATATGGCTATTTTAAAATAAAACTGTTTATGGACACTCCAATTTACATTTCATACAATTTTCACATGTTATAAGATATTACTCTTCTGTCTTTTCCCAACAATTAGAAATATAACAGTATTCTTAGCTCACAAGCTAGACGACCTCCTCCTTTAGATCCCCCGAGAGAAGGAGCGAAACTGGGATTCAAACCTAGACAAGCCATAGGACACAAAGTCCCAAGAAGAGAGAGAAAAAAATCAAAGATCCTGAGGCTGGAAGGGGTCTAGTGTGCTCCAAGGATGGAAAGACCTCTGTGGCTGAACTGCAATAAGTAAGGGGGAGCCTGAGAGCAAAGCACAGGGGCTTGTGTAAGTCTGAATAAGACGTTTAGAGTCAATTCCAAGTTCAGCAAAAGCCCTTTGGAAGCATTATGGAAAGATGTACCCTTGATCCAAATTTATATATTTAAATATATATATATATATATATATATATATATATATATATATATATATATAATTGATTTTTTTACAGAGAGGGAGAGGGATAGAGATTCAGAAACATCGATAAGAGGGAAACACCAACCAGCTGCCTTCTGCCCGCCCCGTCCTCCCCAACTGAGGATGTGCCCGCAACCAAGGTACATGCCCTTGACTGGAATCGAACCTGGGACCTTTCAGTCCACAAGCCAACGCTCTGAGCCAAACCGGTTTCGGCCCAATTTATATTTTTAAAAGATTCCTGCGCATGCTGCTGTGTGCAGAACAGAGCCTGGAGCTCCAGAAGAATGAAAGGAAGGAAAGCAGAGAGAAAGGACGCTGTCCAGCCTTCCAGGAAAAAAAAAGGAGGATGGTCTGGCCTGGGGTGCTGACAGCCAAGCTGATGAGAACAGGTGGGTCTGGGCTAGACTTTGGTGAGGCAGAACCCACAGGGTGTTCTGAGAGGTTCATAGAAGGTGAATCTAGAACGAGGCCCGTTCTAGATTCTTACATCAGCCTGTGGGGTTGATCGGCCCATTTACGATGAAACTCCAGGCCCCGGTCCTTGCCAGGGCGCTGTTCCATTCATGACATCGAGGTGTAGCCATCCTGGAGCTCCCATTCTATTGGCCCAGAGAGATCAAGTCCCTTTGCGCTGGGTCCCCCAGCCAACACCTGTGTCCCCCTCGGACACCCCCACCTTTGGCCAGTTATGTTTAACCTCTGATTTCTGCATGCTCACCCCAACCACTCTCCAAGAAAGCATTTGCCCAATGGACTTGCCCCTTAGAAGGGGAAACTAAAGCCTGAAGTGACAGGGAGCCAAAAACCCCTAGCAGGCCACCCCCTCTGGCCTCTGACCTGTGCGTGTGGAAAGCCCCCCTGCCCCTGTCCGCAGACACACACATCCCCCCGCAGGATTTACCTAGAAGAAGGTTTCCATCGCGGCGCTCTGGATGGCTCACTCTCCCACCACTGGGATCCCCTGGAAAACAAGCAGTAACCTGGGGCGTCCAGACCCAGTGCCAGGCGCGCCCCCTTAACTGAACGTGTATTCTCCCAGGTCCCGAACGCTCGCGTGGCGCACTGCGCATGCGCCCGGCCCTGGCCACGCCCCCTCGATCGGCGGGAAAAGGAGGCGGGGGCGGTTAGGGCCCCGGCGAGTGCTCGGAACCGGGCCTGGCGGTGACAGCAACGCGGAGCTCGACTCCGCGCCAGGCTCGGCGCGCAGGCGCGAGCTGCCCTCCTCTCCCGGAGTCGGCTTGGGAAGTGCGCACGCGCGAGAGTTTCTGGCAGAAAGCAGGCGAGCGGCGGCCAGCGCGGAGCCTTGTGGGAGGGCTTGAGGAAGTAAAATGGCGGACCTGGCGAACGAAGGTAGGGGAGGCGCCGTCGAGGTCCAGCTGGCGGCCGGCGAAAGGGCGGGGGAAGGTCCAAAGGCCACAAGCCCGAGGGGTGAGCACCCGGAGTGCGGGGGGCCTGCCTGCTCCCAGATGGTGGCGCCGTGGGTCCCGCAGCGGTCCCCAATGGCGTCCCCTCAGGCAGGGCTCACCGGCTCGGCCCATCACTCCCGGCAGCCCCGACTCTGCCGCCCCCCGGCTAGAGGGTCTCGAAGGCGGCTGGGGCCGCGGCCCGGACGCCCTTCCGCCTCGCGGGTCAGGCCGAGGGCTGGGAGGCATGGGAGGCGCGGCCTCGTCGCCTTGGCCTCGGTTGTAAATAGATCTCGGGGCCTGGTGGTGGTTCCAGCGCGCCACACTCCCTCCCCGCCCCCTCATTCTCCGGCCCCCGGCCCCCCTCCCACCCCCGTCCCGGGCCTCGCTGTCTGACCCACCCACCCACGAATCCTTTGGGGTTCTCTCCCTCTGCGGGCCTTCCCCATTCAGAGGACCGAGGACGCCCGGTCTGTTTGCACCGCCCGCCCGCCCGCAACTCGGCCCCCAGTTCCCGCCAGTTCCCCCAGATCCTTCGTGGCGACCTGAGAGTCGCCTCTACTCTACCAGCATGTAGGCCCGGCCGCAGGATGTGGGCCCTGAAAAGTCCTGGCTCCTCTTTGGCCCTTTTTTGCTGCAGTTCCAGAGAGAGACAGAGACTGTGATCCTCCCCCCTGTAGAGCGCTGACATCCCACCCGAACGTTTATGACAAGGTTACAGAGCCGAATCCCTGGAGAAAACACTCCATAAGCCGATGTCTGCTTACACCAACAGTGGTTGTGGATACCGCCGTAGCTTCAGGACTTCCTAGGCCTATTTTTAGCTCCCTCGTTTTCTAGGTGCACAGCTACTAGCGAGCTGTCTCCCTGCCTGGCCCTGATCCCCAGTACCATGCTCCCTGCTATTGGAGGGTGTCCTGAGGTTCCCATAGGGAACCGCGTGAGTGCATGATAAGTGTTCACCCTGGTGGAGCATTTGTGATGGTGCTAGGTAATGTTCCGAGTCTTGCTTACCCTGTGTTTTCTCCCGTAATACAAAAGCTCTATGAGGTAGGTACTGTAGTTATTTGTACAAAGCAGGTCGCACAGCCAATAAGGAGCAAGGGATGTGAATCAATGAGGTCTGGCTTCAGAAGCACCTCTTACCGTGGTCATTTTATGGCACATCCCTTCTAAAAGATAAAGGAGTCTATAGAGCATTCATAAGATTTAAAGGCAGTAGAGGGACTGGACAAATTGGAATCAGTATGACTTACTTTATATATTTACCTCTTTGCCTGCTTCAGTTTCTTGGTCTCAAGACTCATATATCCAATATCATGTTCGCCATTTCTATTTGGATGTCTGATAGGCATATCAAACAAAATCCCTGTCTTTTCTCCAAAAACCTGTCCATGCCATCGTCTTTCCCCCATTGTAGTAAATGGCAAGTCCATTCTTTGAATCAGGCCCAAAACCTTAAAGTCACCTTGACTCCTCTTATTTGCCACAGTAAATCCTGTCTGTTCTATCTTAAAAAATATTTTAGAGGATGACCACTTACCACCAACACTGTTGCCCCTTGGGTTTTCCTTCTACCCTTACTGCTTAACCCACAAGCCATAGTGAGACCTCCCTGACCTCCTCCTCCACCACTCTCTCCCTAATTCTTTCTCGGTGTCCTTTGAGTAATCCATTAGCTCCCTCCATTATGCCTTTGGACCTGGTGCTTCCTCTCCTTTACTTCCATGGCCCACTCCCTCGCCTCTGTCAGATTTTTACTCACAGATTACTTTATTATTGAGATTTTCTCTGGCCACCTATGTTAAATTGTATCCACGTTCTCTATTCCCTTTACCCTGCTTTATTTTACCCACAGCACTTAATTACCACCTGGTATGCTAGGTTTACTTATTCAACTACTCTTCCACTGGAATATAAGCTCCACCAGGGCAAGGCTTTCTGCTTGTCATTATTACTGATGGAGTTACAACATCTGGCACAGAGTAGTTATCCAAGAAATGTTTGTCGAATGAATGAATGAATGAATGAATGAATGAATTCAGTGAGGACCTTCATTGGTAGATATCTTTTAGCATAAAGAGGAAATTACAGATTTCTGTTTCCCAAGGATACCATTTCTAGCATATGCCTGACACATCAGCTGTCAATTATATTATAAATTACATAGTTGGATGGGTAAGTGTAAAATAGAGAAATGGAATGTTTTTGTATAATGAAAGCCACACTCACCTAATACTTTGCCTCTGGCACTAGTTCTGACATAGTTATCCTCAGGAAATCAACTTTCAAGGCTTTTTATGCCTCACATATTTCTGCCATCCTTTAATTAGTCATTGACTCCATTTCTGGATTTGGTTTGGATGTTAAACTTCTTATCCACTGTAAGCTAAGACTCCCTTGCCTATGAATTTTGAAGCCTTAAGGACTGCCCCCATCTAGGTGCTTTCCCTCTTGCTATTTAAGCTCCATATGCTCTCTTGAATTCTGTCTTTCTAGACAGGGATCCTAAGCTGATCCATCCTCACACCCTCTGTCTCTTCTCTGGGCCATTGCCACCTCTCTGTGAGTCTGAGGCATTGGCTAGCCACCCGGTCTGGGCATCAGGATTGTCTAGGGAGCTTTTTTAAAACCAGAAATGCTCAGTCCCCATACCTATTCTGATTCTGTGAGATGTTGGGTGGGCCTTGGGCATCTATACAGTTAGAAAGCAGCCAGGGTTGAGAAACCACAGGCTTGAGTGGGACTGCTTATCTACAAAGAAACATTTCCAGTGCTTTACCCAATACAGCATCGTGTTAGCCCTTGTTGCCATTGTGAATTTTTCAGGGATGCTGACAACAGCACCCATAGCCCTTGCTTGGTATTCCTGTACAAGTCTGACTTTTATTTTTATTTTATTTTTTTAAAATATATTTTATTGATTTCCCCCCCCCCCCCCAAGTCTGTGACTTTTAAAGTCAAGTTGTGTTTTGGGATATTCTCTTCTGCCTGGAAATTTTGCTGTTGATACATCCCAAACTAACCAACCTACCTCTGAAATTATTCTGCATTGTAGTCTCTCTCTGTCTCTCTCTGGAACCAGGCTTTGATGGCAGCATTTTGACCTTGGTAAAGTTAACAAAGAATAGGGAGAGGGGAGCAGAGTGTATTTGAGTTATAGGAAATCTTGGGTTTTAGATCTTGCATTATCATATACATTACTAATACATTTGAATTCTTACTGACTTGTGGACATGCATGGTAGAAAGCTGAGCAGGGTTCTCAACTTTGGCCCCATTGACATTTTGGGTTGGATGATTTTAAAATATATATATTTTATTTTAGCCAAAACTGGTTTGGCTCAGTGGATAGAGCGTCGGTCTGTGGACTGAAAGGTCCCGGGTTCGATTCCGGTCAAGGGCATGTACCTTGGTTGCAGGCACATCCCCAGTAGGGGGTGTACAAGAGGCAGCTGGTCGATGTTTCTGTCTCATCAATGTTTCTGGCTCTCTATCCCTCTCCCTTCCTCTCTGTAAAAAAAAAAAAATCAAAAATATATTTATATATTTTATTGATTTTTTGCAGAGAGAGAGAGTTAGAAACATTGATGAGAGAGAAACATCAATCAGCTGCCTCCTGCACATCCTCCTAATGGGGATGTGCCCATAACCAAGGTACACGCCCTTGACCGGAATTGAACCTGGGACCCTTGAGTCCACAGGCAGATGCTCTATCCACTGAGCCAAACCGGTTAGGGCAGGTTGGATGATTCTCTGTGGTGGAGGCTGCCCTATACCTTGTAGGATGTTTAGCATCAAAGTGGCATTCCTGATTCTACCCACAGATACCAGTAGCACACATCCTCCTCTGCGTCCCTGCCTTGGGGGTCGTGACAACCAAATATGTCTTCAGATACTGCAAAATGTCCCAGAGTGGGCAGTGGTGAACCATCAGCAGTTAAAACCCACTAGAATAAGTGATGGTGAAGCATAGGTTTTGCCCTGTGTATTGGATTTATGTTTTGACTCTGCCTTTGTATTCTCTGAGTGCCTTTAAACAAATTCTTAACCCTTTTGAGCCTCATTTTCCTTACCAGTAGTAATATGGGAATGATCGTAACTATCTCATATTTGCTGGGAGTATTCGCTAAATTAATGCAAATAAATTATTTAGCACCTGTCTCAGCGCCCAGTAATAAACAGTCAGTAAATGGTAGTTATTTTTACTGCAGTGGGCTCATGTTATAGACATATTTAGCTTAAGTGCTCAGCAAAGAGAGAGAGAAAAAAAGAAAGAAAAAGAAATGAATCTGACTAGTGCAGATGAATCTACCCCACTGAATGAGATGACCCTGGGGGTCAGCCCATGATGGAGGCCAGCGGAGCTGGTCCTCCTATTTTTTCTGTCCTGCTTTTCTTTGCTTTATCTTCTAGTTATGGGTTCTCAGCCTCAGCACTACGGATATATGGAACCAGATCATTCTTTGTTGTGGGGCTGCCCTGTGCATTATAGGGTGTTGATTGGCTTCCCGGGCCTTGATTCACTATACACCAGTAGGACCCTTCCCCAGGTATTATAACCAAAAATGTCTCCAGAGGTTGCCAATGTCCCCTGGCAGGGTGGCACAATTACCCTCAGTTGAGAACCAGTGATCTAGCCTGACCAGCTGTCAGTCCAGAGATTTTCAAGGTTGGCTTGGCTTTTCTCAGTTTTTATCTTGTTGACTTAAAACATAAACCCTGAGAGGATGAGTTGCAAACAAATTTTTATTAATAAGCCAGAACTCAGTTGGACTTCTTAATTCACTTAATTCTCACCATCCTCTTCCCCTGCCCTAAACTTAATTTTTAGGCTAAGTGATAAACACTTAAAATTTTTTCATTAACTCTGTGATAAACATTAACTCTGGGATTTGCCTTCAAGTCAGAGCATGCACATTTGACTCTCGGGTGCCTCTCACATCTG